TGGACTACAGCATCCCGTGGTCCTGTGGACTACAGCATCCCGTGGTCCTGTGGACCACAGCATCCCGTGGTCCTGTGGACTACAGCATCCCGTGGTCCTGCGGACTACAGCATCCCGTGGTCCTGCGGTCTACAGCATCCCGTGGTCCTGCGGACTACAGCATCCCGTGGTCCTCTTTAATGAAGTCCGCCGCCCGCTCGCCGATCATGATCGCCACGGCATTTGTGGTCGCTGAAAGTGCAGTGTTTGGTTAATGTTTTTATTCTTCATAATTTATTCGAGGCTTATTTAGTCTGTATAATTTACGTATTATTGAGGTAAAGTTCAACTCATAAATTCGGCAACGGACTCGTGAGTTCTGTCATTAATGATTCACCTTGCATACAATTGGTATATTTAAGGTAGGGAATCGTGTCTTCATGTTAAATAATGAATCGTTTCAATCAATATTTAGTATTTGATAGTATTGCAAGAATACTTCCTTGACACAAACTAACGCATTCTGCATCTCAAAACTCGACGCTAATGAAAAAGTTCCAGCTCGTTAATCACTTCGCAAATTTTGAATCGTCATTTTTCAAGTGTTATTTATCTGGGCGATATTGACCTCTTTCATTTTCTTATCATTTCGAGGCAGGGTTGCCCAGGAGTTACAGTTCAGAGTATCACGATTGGCGCAGAGAGAGCTGCGGGTTCGATCCCAGCTCTCTGCGCCAGTTCTGGTCAGAATCGGCGAGGAGGCCGCGGGCGGTTAAGCTCAGCAATTAGAGCAGTGAGTTGCGAGTTCAAGACCGCAAAAAGTTGCGAATGTTGTGCTATGTTAAGAATCGGCGACAGGCCTACGGCCTAATGAACGCTAAAACCGCTATATTAAAGATGTTATTTCTGGAAAATTTGATGTTATTATAGCCAAACAAATTACATTTTAATTGCCCTTCGTGAAAAAAATTTGAAGTCAGAAATTATATCTCAAATTAGCGGCGTAAGTCGTTATCCATTTTGAATCATACCAGTAACAATAAAGATAGTAAAATACACTTTTATATTAAATTTTGGGATTGAATAGTTAGGGTTTCATGATGGATGAAAAAGTCGTGTGCTGTCGTCTATCATGTCATGTGGAGCGCGCGTGAGAGTTTGTCATGAAGCATATCGCATCATGGAACTAATCTACATCTCGTAGAGGCCTGATGATCTCGGGTGGGAGAAAAGCAAGCCAACATGGGCATTAAACATAAATTTTTATCCACCGAATTAAACGCGTATAAATGAAGTTCGTCTTCGATGCATGTTATAAATTTAATATCAGTACTTATATCATTAGTCTGCTTATATCGCAAGTTCACAAGGAATTTAAAAGCAAAGAAAACGCCAAGAAAATTCACCATATCGATATTGAAAACGTTTCGGAGTCCAGCTCCATCATCAGTTCGACTAAACTAAAAANCGGTAATAAAGTTCCGGAAGTACAGCACAACCGCCCGACGGTAATAAAGTTCCGGAAGTACAGCACAACCGCCCGACGGCAATAAAGTTCCGGAAGTCCAGCACAACCGCCCGACGGTAATAAAGTTCCGGAAGCAATTCAAAGCAGGAAACAAGTCGGTCAGGCTCCTGGAGCGACTACACGGCACGTCTGATCTCCACCGCGTCTCAATCTGAACTGCTTAATTAATTCATGTTATAAATTTAATATCAATTTCATGCAAACTCTAATAAAATTAGAAGACTATGTTTATGCTTAACCGTTTGCACCGTTGAACTTAAGATGTAGTTTCTTATCGTACTTACTTTAAGTTTACTTTAGTTTACTTTAAGTTTACTTTAATAATAAATAATAATAATAGCGGTTTCAGCGTTTAGTAGGCCGTAGGCCTGTCGCCGATTCTTAACATCGCAGAACATTCTCAGCATTTTGCGGTCTCGAACTCGCAACTCACTGCTACAATTCTGCTGTGCTTAACCACCCGGCCTCCTTGCCGATTCTGACCAGAAACTGGCGCACAGAGCTGGGATCGAACCCGCGCCTCTCTGCGCCAATCTTGATACTCTGAACTTTAACCACTGGGCCACCATTTACTTTCTCGCAAATGAACAAATTAACCTGTAGTTAAGTGACCTGTACCCGTCTAGTACAAATGTACAATTAAGATTATCTAGAAAAAGTTTATATGATGTAATTAGGCTAAACTAACCGACCTGAAGTCACGATGGGAACAATGGAGAGGTCCACAACCCTGAGACCGTCCACGCCGTGCACTCTGAAGGCCAGGAATGTAAGCGTTATTACGTTAATTCTGATCACCGAATATTATTAATATTATTTGCATAACTCTTAAACTTCAGTAAGAAGTAAAATAACTTTGAATAACCAGAAAGATAAAAATTATAAACGATAGGTAATCAGTCATAAGGGATGTGAAAATTGTGTTTGCAGTCTAAGTGACCTTTGATACGATATTCGTTCGCCATTGTTTTTCTTCTAAATTTAAATTTCCATTGGTAATGTCCACCTCTAACCGAGATGTAAGATCAAAATTGTTTCACCAGGGAGCCCTTTTTTCCTTAGTGAACAATCGCCAAGCGAAAATGTGACGTCGCTCTGAGACGCTCGTCAGATCAACCCACACCCTTCATCTATACCCAGCAGAACTTTAACATAGTCCACCTCAAACGACACCCCGTTTTCTTCGGGACAAGCAAGCCCCGCTGCCCTGTTGGAGACGCTCTGCGCACACACCCAAGCCTCAGTCTGCTCTGCAGTTAGATAGCGCAAACATCCGTGCTGCTCATACCCGGACCAGCGTGAATTTTTTAATAGCGATAAGTAACCTTATGTGATTAACATCCCATTTACCTATATAAATTGTGTGCCAACCGTAGAACGATAAACATGTGAGCCACCTTGCCCTGAAATCTCGAAAGCTCATCTCATCGAAAGCTCGTGGCTACTCAGTGATGTGGTTATTATAGGGAATATTATAGTAGCATTTAAGTATCGTGATTGTTTGTGACGTCCCTATCTAACGTAAAAACCTGGGAAATTTCCGAAGCATCCCGCCATGAAACCAATATGGCGACCATGGCGTCACTGAACATGGCGGACTAGTAACAATCGACAAGAGAAAATATGACATCGCTCTGAGACGCTCGTCAGATTAACCAACACCCTTCATCTATACCCAGCAGAACTTTAACATAGTCCACCTCAAACGACACCCCTTTTTCTTCGGGACAAGCAAGCCCCGCTGCCCTGTTGGAGACGCTTTGCGCACACACGCAAGCTTTTACTGCTCTGCAGTGAGCTAGCGTAAACACCCGTGTTGCTCTTACCCGGACCAGCGTGGATTTTCTACTAGTGATAAGTAATCTTATGTGATTAACATCCCATTTACCTATATAAATTGTGTGCCAACCGTAGAACGGTAAACATGTGAGCCACCTTGCCCTGAAATAACATAACATATTGATCTCGGCGCTGAAGTGTAGGCTTGATGTGGCCTGTCGCCGATTCTTTCACTTTTCGTGCCTTGTTCACAGAAGATCTAATATCGTTTCATTTGACCGGATCTTTTCATGACTGACGATAGTTTCAAGGGGAAGCCTGCCGAAGACCACCACTGCCCTGGATGTAATAGACTATCATGACTCTTGCCCTCCGGAACGTAGCCTTCAACACTTCTGGAAAATCATATAGGCAGCCGAAAGCCACCAGACAGAACGAATCAATTGAATTAGACCAATCAGCCCTCAGGAGAAACAGCCGGCGATCGAATGGCCTAGCGTNAGTACAGGCGGTGGCCACCCGCATCCATCAACAGGAGCACAGCACGGTGATGGATTCTTGTCCTCCATCCTTGGAGAAGACGACCTGCATCTAATGGACATGGCTATAGCGCTGTCTCTTATACACATCTAGATGTGTATAAGAGACAGGTTCCACATGTCGATGATTCGAAGCGAGAAGAAATTTTGTCGCGTGGAGAAGTTGCAGCGCAGTTTTTTAGTTTATAGCCGTGGCCCCTGGTGTTGGTTCTTGTTTTGTAAATGTAAATTAGCGGATCTATTCTACTGTAGTTACTCGACCATAACTCGCACTATCATTTCTTGTGAATGTTGAAATTATTTTTATTAACTCTTCAAACTCGTTAATCACCAATTTCTATAGCTATTTGCAACTTAATTACTTAGAAACTTGCCTATTACTTCCTATGTCGTCAATTTAACTTTGAATAATCATGCAGACATTCTGTCAAGAGATATTCTCAATTTTCTAGCACTAACAATATTCGTATGATTTTGAGTTACAATATAGTTCGATATACGACAAAATACTTTTTATATTTAATTCGATCACTCGAAAGTTGTGATTTTCGTTTAGAAGGTGCTAGCGGACAGCGCTAGAACCATACGGTAGAATCACCTTGTTTTTCACGTCGACGTGTTAAGATCTCCAGGGTTACGGGGTAAGCTGCTCAGCCGATCGTTAAATTTAAATTTAGCTATTTGAGATTAAATATTTCAAAGTGTAACCGTCAGAACTATATCATGGCTTGCTCTCAATATATTTTTAATATTTTTTTCTGCTGTTTTGTGTCAGTGTTATGCTTAGTCAACCTTCTGAATCAAAGTCAGATAGCTATTCAACCTCATAATATCTGGATAATTATTTGTATTAGTTTTCTCGTTAAACATTAATTCTCCATTTTTGTTCATGTCATGTTTGTATCCTACTGACACACCGCCCCACAGGTATTGGTCGTGCCGTCATTCTTCATCCCATCAATAAACATACTACTAAACCTTCTGATTCTTACTCAAGCCCCACGTGATGCCTATATACTACAAACAATAGGGAGAGGATGAGGAACCGCTGTTACAACTTAAATATCTCAATTCACACTTCTTAAACAGCCCTCACTCCTAAATCCCTAAACTACCACAGCTAGCCCGTATGTCGACATTCAGTCGATGCAATTATGAAAGCTCATCGAATTCCATATTAATCTCGAGGCTACTCAGTGATGTGATTATTATAAGTATTACAATAGCATTTTAAGTATCGTGATTGTTTGTGACGTCCCTATCGAACGTAAAAACCTAGGAAATTTCCAAAGCGTCCCGCCATGAAACCAATATGGCGACCATGGGGTCGCTGAACAAGGCTTCACTGAACATGGCAGACTAGCCGTGTTTCCTTCCTGGAATCATAACCCTCTACTTTAAGTATCTAGTATAGACATAACTAGCATTATTTGGTTACCTAGATCCATGCGCTTACCTTATCCGATACCTTGCAAAAACCTAGGCGAGACAGGACACGTGGAAAGATCGTCCCAATACTAGTCACTTTGCCCCTCCCTGCCTAAATTAATAGTGAGCGGTCTAATTAGTATTGCTGATCTTAACGATGCCTTACCCTCAGACACAGGTCCGAGACGATATCTGAAACAGACTCCATACTGTGGTTAATACACTAGTGCTGTAACGCAGCGCGCCTCCATCGTTATTCCAACGTAAACTAGTTTATAGTAACGTAGCTAGTACCTTGTAACTCTTAGTGCTCAGACCACGAGCAAATTATAGGAACGATCTTCTTGCAACATTTCAAAACGTCGATGTTTAGCCGCCACCACTCGTGGATCCGATATAACCCTACTGATGCCGATGACGATGTTTCACAAGTTCCTAGATCAGCCTATTTCGATCGGTTTCCATAGTTGCTAACTATCACTATTATTATCATTGTCTAAAGACTGATGAACAATGTTTCACAAGTTCCTAGATCAGGCTATTTCAATAGATTTCTATTGTTGCTAATTACTATTATTATTACTTCCCAGTCCAGTACCTAATCTTAACCCTTTTGTGCAGTTTCTTACGTCACCCTTATAAAATAAAGCGGAGAAAATTCCGTGGACTATTTTTCTCCCGTTGAGCCACACGATTGTGTCAGAAAACTCTAAAATAAATAATTACCTGATAGGAAATATTTGAGTAAATGCAATAAAAAATTTCACTCTGGAAGCCCGTTACAGTTATTGCAAAATAATTGCAACAACTATATTGTTAAATAACTTTTAACAGCAACTTATACTCATGAATTCTTACGAATATCGCCCACCTGAGTCTGGGGGACACGACGGCCATGGGGTCGGTGGCGGGTGCCATCTTGCAGGTGCAGCAGAAGTGGTGGCCCGTGGTGCTCATGGCGCGGATGAAGCAGCGCCAGTACTCGTCTGAGCCCCAGGGCAGGTGCTTGCAGCCTATTAGCGGCTGTGCACAATTTACAATTGGAGGCCTTACAAAATCTGATAATTTTTATAATACTAAACTAATTTTTTTATTTTACTAATTTTGTATTTCTATTGATTTAAAAATTTGTGGTGACCTACGAAGTCCCACCTGAGTCTGGGGGACACGACGGCCATGGGGTCGGTGGCGGGTGCCATCTTGGAGGTGCAGCAGAAGTGGTGACCCGTGGTGCTCATGGCGCGGATGAAGCAGCGCCAGTACTCGTCTGAGCCCCAGGGCAGGTGCTTGCAGCCTATTAGCGGCTGTGCATAATTTACAATTGGAGGCCTTACAAAATCGACGTAATTCACTGCAGGGAACTAATTTTTTATTTAGCTGTAATACATTTTTTAGTATTATTATTGACCTAATTTTTATAATACTAAACTAATTTTTATTTTACTAATTTCGTATTTCTATTGATTTAAAAATTTGTGGTGACCTACGAAGCTTCGCATAGCCTGGGTTCTGTCAGGGGCATGATAATATGCTATGCCTGTATTAATTTGAGGCGCAGAATAAGTAGAAGTATTGGGTCGATATAATATTTGAAATACAGATCAATCATGCATTTGAATAAGACAAGAGTGCAGCATAATGAAATAAAATATAATTTATTCGTTTTGATAATGATATCTAGCCTATAAAAAATAACCAATCAAGACACAAGATAATCTTTAAACCATCAGCAATAAAAAGAGATATATCCAGTACTTATATTAAGCCTTTTAGAAAATAATAACATCAAAGGGCTCATTCTTGCATAATTGCACCCAGCTCTACTCACTCTGTCTCACCCTCCCCAGCTCTACTCACCCTGTCTTACCCTCCCCAGCTCTACTCGTTCTGTCTCACCCTCCCCATCTATAGTAACCCTCCCATCTAAACTCACCCTTCCCAGCTCTACTCACTCTGTCTTACCCTCCCTCCCCAGCTTTACTCTTCCTGTCTCACTCTCCCCAGCTTTACTCACCCTGTCTCACCCTCTCAGCTATACTCACCTTCCCATCTATACTCACCCTCCTCCGCAGCTCTACTCACCCTGTCAATAAAGGTGGCATTCACACCCTCCCTCAGAGCTCGCGTCCTTCCCACTTCCAAAGCGAATTCTATGCCTGAAGAAAGGAAGGATAGTGACAACCTGCTCGGTTAATTAAATTATTTTTACTGTCATAAACTTTATTTATTGCGGTCTAATTAAAACTTAAATGACTATAACGTATTCCAATAGAGAACACCTCATGAGAAAACGTTTATAATGGACTTGAGTTTCAAGCTGGACCAGGCTCATAACATAACATAACATAGTGATGTCGGCGCTGAAGTGTAGGCCAGATGTGGCCCTGTCTCTTATACACATCTAGATGTGTATAAGAGACAGGTGTANTTGGAGAGGATGGTGGAGCGTTTAAAATTAATTGATAGTCATCAAGCATTTACGCTTTTAAAGAATTGTTTCGCTCTACCTAAACTCTGTCTCTTATACACATCTAGATGTGTATAAGAGACCCGGCCAGAACGGTTGCTAATTCTTTGAGCAATCTGGGATGGAAACCGTCTGGTCCACATGACTTGTTGGGATTTAGAGCTACCAGGCGCTTGAAAACCTCTTCGTCGTGTATTTCAAAGCATGTTAACTTCGAGCCGACTGGGCGCTCCTCAATATATGGAATACTGTTCAAGTCCTCATCTGTGATGAGGACTTGAACAGTATTCATCCTTTCTTGCTGAAGAACTGATTAAGAACGTTAGCCTTGCCCTCATCTGAGGAAATCTTTCGTTGGTCTACTTTCAAATCAGAAATACCGTCCTTTGACTTACATTTCGAACTAGCGTACAAAAAGAAGGCTTTCAGATTATTTTTTGCATTTTTAGCAATATTTTTTTCGAAGTTTTTCACTGCAGCGCGACAAACTTTTTTAACTTGATTTCGAGCTCTGGCATACAGTTTATAATCAGACTCGCTGTGAGTTCGTAAATAACGCTTGTAGGCTTCTTTCTTGGTCTTTAGCTGAGTCTTAACTGCACTGTTCATCCACTGGGACTTTTTGACTCCTCCAAGCGTAATCTTGGGTACACAAGGTACAAGCATCAACTGCAGACATAACCGTGTCTTTGAGAAACGACCATGAATCAGCCACATTCATGTCCTTGATACGGTCCGAAATATTCGCCGCATTCACCGTTTCACGGAGTGTATCATAGTCGCCTTTCGCAAAGTTCAAACGTTCACGCTTCCGAAGCGTCTTTTCTGCACAACACTTAATGTTGAAAAACAATGATTGGTGGTGGCTTTTGCCCAACGGACCCTCGTGGCGAAGCTCATCTATCATTGATTCTTCACTAGTAAACACAAGATCTAGAATATTTGGGGTCTGTTTACCCCTAAAATGGGTTGGCTTGGTGATGTTCTGGATTAAAAATGAGTCTCGCACAGACGCCAAGAACAAGGATGCTGGGTGATTCCCATCTCTTGGAGAAGATTCATCTGCCCAGTCTATTTCTGGATGGTTAAAGTCACCAACGATCAACGTATGCGACCTGCTGAATGACATGCTCGGTAAAAGGCTGTTTTCTGGGCCCCAAATGAGGTTCTAACCCACAGAGCTACACCTCTACTGCACTGCTCTTCATTTAAGTTATGAAAGCAATCAAAACCTGGCAGTTGAAATTCAACAGGTACAATTTTCCCCCCGTGATTTTTAGGGAGTGTTTCTGTACTGTAATACAAATGATGTCTATACACTCGTTTGCGATCACAGCTAACAGTTCTTTTTTCTTGTTCAAAACGGAATCCAAGTCCGTGTAGAAGCATTTTAAAACTTTTTGTCCACTTTCACTTTGATGTATGCGGTTACTTCCTACATTATTTACAGGCCTTGATCTATGGACATCATTCCTACTAATTACTTGTCCTCCATCTCCTCCGACTGTCCGTGAGCAGCCGGTGTTGTCTTGACAGCTTGGAAGTGATTGACCTGATTTTCCGTGCCTTTCTGCCTGATTCTCTCCTGCGCCACTTCTTGCGAAAAACCGCCCTTTCCAAGGGAGTGGAATCTTTCTTCACAAAAACTGACTTGTAATCAGCGGATTCTCCAAGCTTTCTCGCTGTTTTCAGCACGCTCCAGACCTGAGCAGAATCCTTTACAGTCACCAGCAAAGGTCTGAAGGTGTTGCCAGCAGCATCCTCCGAGCGTAGCCTCTTGCAAGATATAACATCAATCGATGTGTCGAATACCTTGCTGCAACAGTCTACAACAAAGGCCGGTCCTTCGCATCAGATGCGTTACTTTCAGGAATCCCAAACCAGACCAGGTTGGCCTTAGTTCCTACGTTCTCTATCAAGCAATTCACGTGGGCTTTCATTAACGACTTCAGATAAATCAGCTGTCTTGTTCTTTACTCCCATTTCTTCCGTATTTTTCAACTGAGCCTTCACTTCAGTCAGCTCATTGCATAGCGAGCTCAGTTTATCACTCAGCGAGCGCACCATCTCACTCAAGGAGTTTACTACATCATTCAACAATTTAGACTCATTGCAGTGCTCATCCACCGACTCCTCTCTTTTTAGAGCACCAAGAGTTGGTTTTTCGCAATCACGGCAAAACCAATGAAGCAATTTAGATTTCTGGAGAAATGTGTACTCCTTAGAGCTCAACTTCGAACAGCTGATGCAAATGAGATCTTCGCATAGTTCGCAGGTGACCATCTGGACTTCGCTCAAAGAGATATCTTTGCAGTACTTGCAGACTTTCATCTCTGGCTGGGCTGATTTGGTTTTATTTTGTGTTCTAGAGGCCGTAGACGGCTTTTCTCTAGAGGCCGTAGAGGGCTTTTCGACTATCTTTTTTATTTTCTGTCCAGCCATTATTAAATTATTAAATGCATTTGAACGGAGAAAAGGACGGAGAAAAATACAGAAAATGACGGAGAAACATACAAAACTGAGTTGAGTTGAGTATAGTAAAGTTCCCTCGAAAATTCCGGCTTGAGGAACAGCTGAGCTGCAGCTTCCGAGGGAAATGCAAGAGCTAGATAAACACAAGTTAAAAACCGAAATCAAGTTGAGTAAAAATTGTTCAAATTGTTTGATTGTTCAAAATTGTTACAGACTTGAGAGCAAGCGGCTTTCAGAGAGCGGCGATCACAGCGGCTAGGAAGAGGTAGGTGCGAGAACAAAGGCTTATTGTCCCGCGTGGAGCAGGGCGTGGGCGTTACCCTCGCGCGGCAACCCTCACTGCCTCTACGAGTCCGCGTTATTTAAAAATGAAAACACTTTCACTTGTTTGGCTTGTTCATTCAATTTGCACTCACTTTTACTGACTTCACTGAACTGAACTGAAATTCGGTTATTCTCTGGCACGGATCATCAAAAAAATGCGTAAAGAGTACCGAAACGGCACAGTAAAAAGTTAAAAATTTAGAAATTTGGGACCACGAGCACGAGCGTCCGCTCTCGACCACGGTTTAACGGAGACGTAGTAAAACAATATTCGTAATGTGGGCAATACGCGCATTTTCTGCCGTATGAAGACTTATGTACTCTAATACAAATGATCTAAGGTAATCTAAACAAAGGATTAGACCATTGGCTAAATTAATTAAAACTTAAAATTGAGCTCTTCGATTTAAGGAATAATTTTTACGAATATCATTTATGCTATCAGGTAGCCTCATAATTAAATGCAAGATCTTTGATATTAATTAAGCCCCCTGAAGACACGATAAAAAATGTTAACATACTTTTAAGAAGATCCTCAACATCATCAGGATGTTCGAAATAATTCGGGTCGACATTTGGAGGCTCGAAGGGACTCTTGGACCTGAGAGTGACGGCGCCGCGGCTCCTGGGAACCTGCAGCATAATTTGGACGTCGAACCCGTCCCTGCCCTCGTAGGGGGCGTAGTAATCCTGGTAGACCTGCACCATGCCGGGACTTGGGATTACATGTATCCTAAGCTGGGGATGAGGATTTATTCTATAAAGTGGCCTCAACTGATGAAGATTTATGCTATCAGGTGGCCTCAACTGATGAAGATTTATGCTATCAGGTGGCCTCAACTGATGAGGATTTATGCTATCAAGTGGCGTCAACTAATGAGGATTTATGATATCAGGTAGCCTCAATTGATGTGTGTATATGCTATCAGGTAGCCTCAATTGATGAAGATTTATGCTATCAAGTAGCCTCAGTTGAGGAGATTATCACAATAACAAACTGGAGTATCGTAATTATCTCAAATTCAAAGCAGTTACCACTCTCACTTAAATTTGTTTATGCAAATTTCGTGAGAAGATGAAATTTAAAGACCAATTTTCTCTATTTCTCGTACTTTAACCAATGAAATGTTTATATCATAAAAGGACAATATACATGATTTTCTCATGAAATTACACTTACTTAAGGCATATTAATGTTTCTCAAGGTCGTTCATAAATACGATCACAATATATTTTTAGTTGAATAATCATTATTTTTTATTCGTTCATATGAACCTTTTATTTAACCGTCCAGCGACCAGCTACCTTGCGAGTGCAAAATACTATAAGGCATCCATACCGCATTGCTGAACTTTATTCATTGAAAAAAAACTGACAGGTGACAAAAACCTCCACCTGGGCATAGAAATTTTAGGCGATATATTTGTCTAATTAGACGAATGAGTTTTAAATGTAAACAAAAATTGCCTCTATGAAAGGCGACAGAATTGTACAGCTAGACGCTAAAGGGTTGAATTATGGACAGACGTAAAGTATTTGTACCTCATCCTTGAATAGGCGCTCCCGCGCGTGGAGTATGCCTCTGTCCGTCCAATACGGTGCTTGGAAAAAATGGTATATGAGATCAGACATTTCGGGGTCCCCTTCCTTCCCCAGCTTCCTCTGGATCACCCCCACCAGAGCCAGGGGATTTGTCAGACGACCTGGCAGATTCCAGGGACATCCGTGAGATAATAGTGGAATTAAAAAAAATGTCAGAAGACTGGCTAATAAGTTCAGATGAATTTTCAGACGAGAAATTTTATAAGGTTTTCAGACGAAAACCTTTTAGTCCTAAGATCAAAAAACCAAATGGTTGAAAAAGCAATGAGACGATATTATAGGGGTTTTCAGACAAGGAATTGGGTTAAAGAAACCTAGAGTGTTCGAAAATTATAACTCTCGAAACACCACTGAATAGTTGTTTGCCTTTATCTATTTTTGTGTATGTGATTGTGCAGTGCAACTCGGAAAATTTTGAAACTAGGAAAGCCGCTTAGAGACTTTAATGGACGTAGAACACAAGAAATCTCAGGATGAAATGCACCAAGGCACTAGGTGCCTATATTTTGGTTGCTTGTGGGGGCTTAGGGTTAATTTTTGATCGATAGGGTAAAAGTCGGCAGGAAATCAGTCAGTAATAATACTAATCTTTTTGCATTGCAATTTTAATTTTGTGAGAAGGTAGTGATGATGATGACAAGCGTGAAAAGTAGACTCCTGCGTTGGGTATTTTTTTTTTGTATCCGAGACGAGACGAGACAACAGGCTCTGTCCCGGTTCGCAATAAAAACCGGGACAATTTTCAGCCCTCCGTAGGAATTCCGGGACGATACCGAGACGAGACGAGACATCCCGGTTAAAATAGGTACCTTAAAATTTCCCGGAATTTATAGCCATTTTAACGAGACATAGCGAGACGAATCAAATTATTACTGTGGTGTAAACTTTGGATTACCATCATACATTTATACAGAGCTGGGCAGCGCTACTTTGAAATGTAGCGGCCATTTCCGCTATATACATGCTCTAAATGTAGCGGGCGCTACCGCTACAATTGCTGAAATGTAGCGCTGCTACCGCTACCGCTACATGTAGCACGCTGCTGCCCACCTCTACATTTATATAATAACTTGAGACGTATCCTTTTACTATTGTGATTGGAGCTCGGCAATTGAAATGTTTTTTGCTACGAATACATGTTGTGGTTTAATATGGTAATTAATCTAGACAGGCAAATAAAAATGGAAAAACCTTTTTTTTTTAATTGTGTTCTATGATGGTTTGGAGGAGACCATACTAGCTGTAGCTGGTGACATCGGCTGACTGGACAGACTTTGATTTGCCTCCAGCTCAATTACAGAATCAGATTCATCGATCTTGCCTTAAGCAATCTCCTTCAACAAAAAGTTTGGCAAGCAATATCAACAACAGTTTAAAATATAACAAAATTTAAGTTGAAAAAAATATATAATAGTTTGATCTTCAAAAAAACTCGAAATATCCATGTGTATCTTTTCTAAATAACGTTAAACAAGCAAAATTGTTTGATAACAATTCAGGAAACTGCGCAATTGTGAAGATTTCCTGGAGGCGTAGCACAAAATTTTACTAAAGGCAGAGATAATCTAAAGCTAGCTTTAGTATTATTAGGAATATCTTACCAGGACTCCACTCCACTGTCTACTAATTGGCCGACTAATCTAGACACTGCATCCCTACTCCCTCTGCGCTCCATGGCGCCTGAACTCGTTCCGAACGAGTAATGAACTCGACTCGTACTCGTACGGTTCCCATAAGTGCCATCGAAGCCTTAGTTAAGACTTAACCCTTTACCGTCCGAATTTCTGGGTCAAAAATCGCAAATTTCACTTTTCCGGTTTTTGGTCTCACCATAAAGCTGACATTCTGACCTATCCAACGGTACCAAAATCATCTCTGTACGTCGATTTATGCCTTGACGACAGTTCGTGAAAGGGTTAGGGGTGGGGGAGTTTTCTAACATTTAAGATAGGCGAAAATTACCCGCCGGGCACATAATTAGACGACCTGAAGACGCTGATCTTTAGTTACCCGGATGCTGTAGTGTGGGATGGTGCTCATGCAGTCGTTCCCACCATCCTTGACTGAATTTCAGCTCCAGTAACGTCTAGTCTTGTATCCATGCCACCTTGAATGCATATTTCGAGGCGCTCGGGACTCTGCCGCGCTCTACTGAACATTCACACCTATTGTCACTGCAAACCTATCTCCCAGAGTTTTTAAGCTACAGCAATGAGAGATATACCGTTCGATTCGCAATTAAAAGATCTAGAGATTAGTTGTAGCTTTTTTTCAATTTTGTTATAGTTTTGAAAATGTTTTGAAAAAAGGGGGTGTACTCACTGTAGTGAGTGACAGAAAGCGCATTTTCTCGTCGACGAAAACGTGGTCACGGACGGACAGACGGACGGACAGACAGACAGACAGACGGACGTGGCGAGCACAATAGTGCATGTTTTTCCTAAATGAGAAAATGCGCTAAAAATAAATCTAAGACTTTTTTTTGTTCGTGTGAATTTTTCGAAAAAATGAAAGAAAACGTGAAATTAATAGAAAACCGGTGTTTTTAAAGGCGACTTGAAAGTCCGATTTGGCGGTAAAGGGAGTGTTTAGTAACATTTTTTACTCAATACTCAGTCATACATCGACAGGTTTGAGGTGTTTGTCGGACCACTAATTAAGTGGCAACTGCCTTGTCGGTTAGTCAGACAAATTTGGCTAAATCTGCAATTACCTCAATTTAACTGGTAACTGTCTATGGCCCTATATTAGCAATAAAGGGCTAACTTGTCATTCATCAACCCATGTTTTCGAAATGATTCGTATCGTAATCGAAAAACTTGCTTTGTCTTAAATAATTAAGACAAATCTCGTCTCGTCTCGTTATGTCTCGTTTCAAATCTGTCTGTCTCGTCCCGGTTCAAAATTTACCGGGACACAAGTTTTTAAGTCCGAGACAGAAGTCATGTCTCGGTTCATACGTTTATTCCTGGACAAATTTTACCCTCTTTGTTCCGTTATTTTTTTCCCGGAATTTTCTCGTCTCGTTTCGTCTGTCCCGGTTCATTTCGAGAAAATTATTTCGAGACGCAGGAGTCTAGTGAAAAGTACGCAGATGTAGGGCCTCAATTGCTAGGTCAATCAGTTTCAGTCGTTGGCTGTGGTCGGTCGTCGTGATATTCGTTGGCTATGAAAATATCGTCGTCGTTGGCTATTATCGGTCGTCTAAGCGATATTTTATAATTTTTCTCATACGTCGCGTCCTGCAATTTGATGAGCCTCAACTTACGATATAGACGAGTAGTTGAATGTTTATCTCATGGGCTCATGGAGGAAAGTTATTTGCAGAGGGCGATTCATCGACCTTATGCCTTAATCCGAAAAAAGAAAGAAACGGAATTTACGATTGAAAGTGAACTTACCGGTCCTCTTCTCCTTGTAGTCCTTATAGGTTTGGGGACTTAAGAAAGTGTTGAAGGACATTGCAGGGACCTCGTTTGGTCCCATCTTAATCAGCCAGTTGAGGCCGTGCAGGGTCATGTGGTCCTGGAAATTTTTACCCACACCTGGCACGTCAACCCGAGGTTTTATCTGTCACCAAAGAGTTATACAGCGTACATATACAGGCAATATTTAGAGCAACTATATTTTAAAAAAACTACGATAGTTCATTAAATTCATTAATTGAAAGTTTTCTTATGGGGCAATAGGTAAACACCACGGTTAATTGTGACTCAAATAAGTTTCGGATAATTAATGTTCTCGGATCCAATAGTGGAACATTAATCGGATCCAATTTTTAAGCCTTTGATCTCGGATACATTTACCGTCATCAGGGCTATTCGTAGCTAGTGGCTTGCGATCGAGAAGTCCCGTCTGTCACTAAAGGGTTAAACTCGTCCGGTGAATGGCGCTGGTGAAATCATGAGCCAAACAATAGAAAACGACATCTATATCTGCCCATCGGAGCGGGGAGTTGAATTGACTTTAAATTTTAAAAGATGCTAGGCTTTGTTTTTTTACGTGGGCAAAAAAATGGCAGAAAGACTGCACGTGGAAAATAGAAAAACGTAAACCTTAAGAAACTGTTATGAAAGATGGATTTTTTCAATATTTCTCCCAACATTAAATTGCAAAGATTAAACTAGCTCTTCCCTTATATTAAAAATAATTTTGCTTAAGAAGCTTTGATTTATACTTAGGTCCAATAATTTCAAGATATTCATCATTACTCTATAATATATTGAGTGTCGAATTAACTGCAAGACTTACAATTACTTATTAAAGGATTGCATTCCATGAATATATTAAAATTTTCATCCATAATTTTGCCTCCAGATGCTGTCGGATTTTTCAGCCCTATAACGGAGATACGCATGCCACGCGGTTAATTTTTCCCCTTTTTTCTTAGAACACGAATGAAAAAGTCTGGACGAGGAGAGAGCAAAGACAGTAGATGGAAAAATTCCTCGTCGGGTTGAAATAAGTAACAAAAGTGAATTTAGTAATTAGGCTGAGCATGGTGTACGACAGATAATACGACATCAATACGATTAAAGTGGGGTGATACAGCACAAAATAAAAGCTCTATTAGTGCTTAATACTATTATTATTAGGATTCCAAACAGAAAATTTATATTGTTGAAAAATTTCTTCTACGCAAATTTAAAAATAAAGCTGTAGACTTGACTCTTACAATGCTCGTTTGCATATGTTCAAAAAAAAAGTGAGAATGACTGAAAAATTCTAACTCGTACTTCAGTGTAGTACTCGTATCCTTTTAAACCATCCTGAGTTTAAAAGCCCATGAATTAGTAAACTATCCCCTCAACTCCATCAAATATTTCACAGAATATTCATAACTTAGAGTATCAATTGTATAATTCTACAAAATTTATAGTACTCATTGGGATGATTTGTAACTCACCCCAACTGATCTGAGGTGTTCCTTGGGCCCAATGCCGGAGAGCATGAGCAGCTTGGGGCTGTTGATGACACCAGCACTGATGATCACTTCTTTGCGGGCGAACGCTTGTTTAACCTGCGTAGTTTAAGCAATGAAAAATAAAAAAATCATTAATAAATGAATAATTGAATGATGAATAATAAAAATTAATTATGGTTTAAGTAATTTAATATTATATAAAAAATATTTAACCTCAAAGTCAATCAATATTGATAAATATTACCACGGTTTGGATACATTTTTTGGATACAAATCTTGGAAGGGATGGTGATTAAAAATTGTTGCGAGTCGATTGAGAATGATGTACTTAAATAATGAAAGTAAATCATAAAGGTCTATGAATAATTTACAGGACTTATTACTTAAACTGGTTTAAATTGGCCCGGAGGCTTGTACCAAATTAACTTGATTCGGGTTCTGCGATTTGAAAATTGAATTTAAATTGAGAGTTCGATAAAGTCGTTGACTTACCCGGCCTCCTTGCATGTAGCGAACTCCTATAGCTCTGTTTTTGTTGTTAAACAGAATCTGAAAATATAGGGAAACTCAGCCATGTAATTATTTAAATTTGTGTTTCCTAAACTCATTGTTATATGTATGACTTTTCAAACGAAGATATACATCTATAAATTCAAATATTTCTATTAAGGCTGCGCTAATTCGTAATTGGTCTGCATGAATACATTTTCTGTGTAAATTAAATGCATCTTTAATTATTACGTGATGATTGCAGCATCGATTTTTACATTTCAAAATAACTTCCGAACGATGAACTTATCATTATTATTTTAACTTCCTTGCTTCAATACAATGAAGTCGTTCTGCAAGCAGGTGTTTAAAAAGGTGGCCTCAATGATCAGAGACAAATTCACGTAAATATCTTTTCCTTGAATATATGATAATTTTAAGAGGCGAATATAGCAGCTCTTTCTATTTAGGTAATCATTTCCATTTATTTGACATTTTTGGGATCGTGTGGTCACTATGGTGAGCAATTTACATTAAAAAATGGTGGAATTTAAGTCAACACGGTCAGTTTATAATTGAACATATATTGGCCATGTTGTCGGACATTGATATCGATAGAATCATAAATTTCTAAAAACTTATTATTTGTATAGCTTATATTGTGATGGAACATTTAAGAAACTTTTGCTTTGATAGCATCAATTCCCTGAATCAGTTAGTTCTATTTTGGTTTGGCAAAACACACCGAAAGATAAGTACTTCTAAATATATTTCGGTAAATTGTAAAGTTCTGTCTTGATGCTTTCGCCCATTCCCTATTTCTATTACAACAATTTGGCTTTTACACTAGTACTACTGGAGAATTTAGAGTCTTGATCAGTTCTACTCCAACAAAGAAGTTTTTCTGACAGTTTGTACCCTGATAACTTGCGACTCAGTCTGCAGGGAGAGATTTGGTCTGCTCAGGGTGGGCTTGAGATAGGCTTCTGCTGCTGAGTGGCGTTCGCCTTTCTTTATGGTATAATCCGGCAGGAAATATCCTGAATGAAAACAAGGCTTGCTCGTCATTGAGACTCAAATTATAACTACCAAGAATATTCCATCTAGTAGCATCAATCAAAAAACCATAAAATCTGCCCAAATAATGAAATTTTTACTGAAATAAATTTGCACTCTAATAACGGGTTCGTCCCAAAATATCGAAATAAGAAATTTCATTTATAAGTTCAATAGATTTTGTGCATTCAAAGATTACTCTATTAATATCGGTGCAAAAGTAATACCACAAGAATATAATTACCAATAAAGTGCAATAGGTATATAGCGATGGATTTTATGCACAATACTCACCGATTCTCTTTTTAGCGTTGGGATCAATTTTTTCAAATCCCATTTCCTTGGCTGCCGCGAAGACATACTTGGAAAGGTCGAACCAAATCGAGTTGGAGACCGAGAGTGGTCCTCCCAAACCATGATACGGCACTGAAAAGTTAAATGAGGTCAAATTCAATCTAATAATGAATATTTTAAAATGTTTAATACTAACTAGAGTGCAGCCTGCACGAAATGTCTACATGAGGATACAGGTTATTGAGTACAAACAATTTACTGACAGATTACAATGTTGCTTTCAGGATAATTAGGGATAACATAAATTTTCATGATAAAATTATTTTGAAAATATTCCAGAGCATCTTGAATAATCTTCCTTGCTCAAGCTAAAAAACGTATTTTGTGGAGATTTCATTGAGGTTTACGCGACTGTATGCGAACAAATCGAAATTTGTGTTCATTTTAGAACCGCCACTCCCATCTCGCGTTAGAGGTGATTTAAAATATTTATGACCTACTATGTTCATTAGCTAAAGGAAAATTCTGTTCCGCATATTAGAACGACACACGAACAAAAATCTGCTGTTTTACCTTTTACCAAATCTACCAAATTTCTGAGTCAGAAGCTGCCAAGCGTGCCGTGTAATGTACTCTGCACACTGGCTTACTACAACATTAATTTAACTTTACGTAGAGTTATCTGAGGATAAATATGTGTGATGAATTGTTATAAATCAAAAATAAACTCACAGTCTTCAGCAGAGAGTTTTCCTTCATAGTTCTCTGCTTTTTTGAAGTATGGCAGGACAGTATCGTAGTCCCAGCCAGTGTTGCCGAGGGCCGCCCAACGGTCGTAGTCACGGCGGTTGCCGCGATAATACAGCAAGTAGTTCACCGCGCTCGAGCCTCCAACGACTTTTCCCGCATTTATAACAAGTTTCTGCACGTGATGGCATCGAGGAAGTAACAATTTTAGAACTCCGTTATTATCAACTAATCGATTATAAACAAGAAACGGAACTGAAGGATGCCTTATGCATTTAGTGTTTCAAGGAGAGTTCTGCTAATTAAAACACATATAAATAGAAATTTAATGGATAAAATTACCCTGATAAATGTGTGTTGCTTTTAGGCTTTGAAAATACATTTTTATTGATTTAATTACTCGTATTTATACCAATAGGTAAATAATCGCGATTTAATTCGTCAGCATGTTTCTTGTATACCAGAATTTGAATTTAAACAGATTTATTTCTATGGAAAAGTCATCCATTATAGTATATACGCACGTTATTTTCGTAGGCGTAAAGTGCATTTTTCTGACTGGTCGTTAAGAAGTAGTAGTTGTAGATACTCTTACGGCTGTATGCGTACAAGCTGAAAGCTGGAATCTGATGGAAAATTACCTCAATATTAATACCTAAAATATATAAATTAACGTTATATCTTTATCGTTGACAAGGGGCTTTGAGGTGATATAGGTAATGGTCAGGTTCATATATGTAATTACTATATCACACTTTATGTGAGTATATACAAAATAAAATATTAGGTCTAACCTGATAACTGTCAGGTATGAACGCAAGGAAAGTCAGCTGGGAAGTAAGTGAGTCCCTACACCGGATTAAATGAATCGATCTACAATTAAAGTCTTGTATTTGGATTGGATATAAGTATTAAAATCACTTGTTTGCTTAAATCGCAAGTTAACTAGGAATTTAAAAGCAAAAACAATACCACAAAAGTTCACCATATCTATATAAGAGAAAACGTTTCGGAGTCCAGCTCCATCGTCAGTTCACAAAATTCAGTTCAGAAGAAGTTCAGATCTAGAAACACAAATACAATCAATTGGTAGAGTAAAAGGCACTGTTGAGTTTTAAAACGGAGAATAAATAAATAAGACATGAAATTAACGCTAGTAAACGGCCTATCCATTTACTATTTCAAGAGGAACGGAGCTAAANTAAGAGGCAGCTGTTATACCGATTGCGATCGACTAATACTACTCCTTTACCCTTATCTGGCTTACAAATGACAAGATCCTTATTTTTGGCCAAGTCTTTCAATAAAAGGAAATCAAGCGGCTGAAAAACAGATGAGAAAATTTTGTAAGATTTAAAACCATAAAAATGACGGTAAGCTAAACTTTGTAAATTGCCAAGAAATTCCTGACCCATGGTAATGGAAACATTTTTTATGCTAAGAGCAAGTCTTTCGAAAGCTAAAAAAAACTTATAGAAATCCAATTTAAAAACAGGCAGACAGAAATCAAGCCCAAAGGCGAGCAAGAACTTAGTTCGAGGTTCCAGGCTGAATGAACTGTAGTTGAAAACGACTTCATCAGGGTTACACGGATGAATTTCATTATGAATACCTAAGTTATCAAGTTTCTTTTTAAATCTTACAAAATTTTCTCATCTGTTTTTCAGCCTGTTTCAACACATATTTTTCGTCTAAGTTCAGGAGCAGCAGTAGAAAAAAAGAAACTCTACGGGATTTAGGGCCAGCTTTCAATTCGAGTTATGCTTTTTGATGTTGATTGCGTGTTGTGACGCTGCCTTCTTGAAAAACTCGATACTCGATTTTTAAAAATTTGAGTGCTTAATTTGGTAACATTACCTAGATGTTACATCAGATTGTTTCTATCTCATTCATTATCTAAAAATTTTTACTAATGTGAACATCACTAAAAATACTTATTTTAATTTTTTTTGTGGTATGAATATCTGAATTAGAGACCAATTTTTTCGCCAAAGCAAATCCTAAAATTTATGCTGGGAATTGGTTTGTATTTATGATATTTATCAAAAGTTCCAAAACAAAGTAGAAAACGTTCAGTCACTCACGAAATTTCGGAAATTTGACTATGAATCTCTCGGGTCCTATTTTTCAACTTCTTTCTTTTGACAACGTCCCCTGCTTGTTCGATTAAAAATAAAATAAAGAAATAATATAATTGGGACTATTCCATCACTGAAAACTTCACTGAACAATGCCGACGGGAAAAACACACAAAGAAACACGACTAATTGACCCAGGTCAAATTAGTCGTGTCGCAAATCAGAATGGATTATTACATGAAGTCACGTCAGTGATGACTAAAACATATGAAAAATTAATAACCTAATATGTAATAGAGCATTGCATCCCCTGAAATTACGTCTAATCTTCTCCAGAATTAATACTTTTTCTAATGTTCTTCGTGTGCATAGCTATCAGTTAGACAGACATGAGGATGCCATGAACGTTACCTGAAATGTCACGTTGGAATCGCATAATTGCATTGCAAGTCTTTACTGTACATTTAATTCCATTATTCAGCCCGAATTCTCAAATGTGATTTCTTCCGCAGGTCAAAGAAATTATCGCAATACTAGACGCGAGCAAAATATTTAGCGTCAAGTGGCAGCCCTGAACTTGCCAGGACTCATCGCCCTCCAATAACCGAGGCAGTGAACAGCAGGACCTGAAGTCCTGCAATGTATGGGCAGCTTCTCCTCGCATGCCCGTGGGGGTACCTCGATCCCTTTACGGCTCCGATCAATTTATTTAAGACGCTAGCTGTTCTTTTTTAAACAGTCTAAATACTCTGTTTAAGGATATTCATGATACTGTTATTGGTTTGAACCGCAATTATTTTAAATCCGTGCTAGAATTATCAGTTCTAAATTCGATCTTCATATTTGCTGGTAAATTTTACAAACAGATTGACGGTTTGGGCATGGGCCTTCCCCTCGGCCCAACCTTTGCGAATATTTTTATGTGTTTTCACGAGGTTTCATGGCTGACCAATTGTCCTCCTGATTTTAAGCCAATTTTTTATAACAGATACGTCGATGACACCTTCCTTATTTTCAAGCATCCTTCTCATGTAAAACTTTTCTTTGATTACCTAAACTTGCAACATAATTCTATTAAATTTACTATGGAACTTGAATCGAACAATAGTTTGTCCTTTCTAGACTGCAATATTACTAAATCTAATGGCCGTTTTCAAACCTCTGTTTACAGAAAACCAACTTTCACCGGCCTAAGCACCAGCTTTTTTAGTTTTTGTTCTTTTAGATTCAAGATAAACGGGCTTCAAACACTATTACACCGCGGCTTTCGTATATGCTCGACTTTTCATTCCATGCATTTTGAATTTGAATTTTTGCGCAATATCTTCTCGCTTAATGGATTTCCTTCTGGCTTGGTGTTTACCCAGATTAAGAAATTCATGTCTAAGCGATACAGTGAAGTTGTTCCAGAACCTGATGGCAGAAGCGTTGTTTACTGTTCTCTTCCATACTTCGGCCATGCGTCCGAAGTTATGTCAAGAGAATTAAAAGTTTTGTTTATGAAATACTTCCCGGACATTAATCTTCGTATCTTACTAGTGAATAATTTCAAAATAGGTTCGTTTTTTAGGTACAAAGATATCCTTCCTCCTCATATGCGATCGTCCCTAGTTTATAAATTTAGTTGTGCACGGTGTGCATCTGCGTATGTCGGAATGACGGCACGCAACTTTTACACTCGGGTCGCTGAGCATAGAGGTAGGAGTTATAGGACTGGGCAGTTACTATCGCGCCCTCCTCATTCGGCTGTGCGCACTCACGCCGAACAGTGCAACGTTCCAGTGTCCGACACAGACTTTAAGGTTTTAGCTTATAGTTCTGGTGCTTCCGATCTGCGTATTTTGGAATCCTTGTATATTTTTAAAGAGAAGCCTAGTTTAAATGCTGCCTATAGTTCTTATCCATTAGAAATTGTGAATAGATAGGTACTTACTTTATTATTCTGCCCTTTGTCTGTAAATTTAGGTTTTTAACTTCTGTTTGTGTTTTTTTTATTAACTCCAAACTAATTTTCTGCATTTATCTGTGTTCTAGATTTATCGAACTGACGATGGAGCTGGTCTCCGAAACGTTTTCAAAAGAGATATGCTAAATTTTTGTGGTGTTTTCTTCGCTTTTAAATTTCTAGTGTTTTAGCTCAATTTTGGGTATGTGAAGATTGTGTTATCAACATAGTTGTAATGCTCGGTCGTCATTTTTCATCAAATTAGCGTTATATGTTGTTAGCCCTTTAGCGGGCAGCTTACTATATGTGGTTACTTAAAATCACCTTCCAAAAATTCACAACTCGTCCCCCGGTGAGTATTTGAGGCTACGTTATCACGCCTCAGTCAATCACCAGTTATCTGCCCAGCCATTACATACAGTAGCATCACTCCCTGCCTTGCCCAGGAATTGAAATATGAGCATTTAAATGGAAGTTTCGAAACGGACAACGAAATCGACACTCTTTCCGCATTAATTAACAATTTAGAAAAAAACAATATCAATTTGAATAATTCAAATTAAGTTATGGGAAAAATTAAATAAATACTCAAATAAAAGCCAGATATAGTATCCTGTTGCATCTGAAAGATTTAATTCATTTAAGATCAATTATTTTTGCATAATGACCGTTTTTAATAGAATTTTCGTGTAAAGAACTTACTCCAATACAGAGGCAAAATATTAAATAAACCATTTGACTAAATTTATCATAGAATTTGAAATATTTTTTTTTGCAGTGGCTCCGGAAATTTAAACTTCTACCTATTTTTATGTTTGCGCGGGAAATTATTCAACATGGTTGATATATGAGCCCACCTGTATCTGCTGAACCTCATAAACGTCATGTCGGACATTTATTCTTGTTGTTTATTCTTGGAATGTTTAAATGCCATGGATTTATGCGTACTCGATTCTAGAACAATTATTGAATAAGAAGAGAGAAATATATTGGAAGGGCAATGATGTAAACGTATGAAGATATGAGGACGAAAAAATCATGATCTGCAAAAAAAGACAGACATTGTCATATCTGTTACCATCACCGAAGACAAATCTCAAATTATTTTAACATTTACCCGAAACACGGTCAATGCAATATTTCCTGCATCTAATTTGTATACGAGTATAGCTTTGCTTAGGCCGTTAGAACAGGCACCGATTCGGATCGTAACGGAATATTCTCACCTTGTTGCGGGTCTTGAACATGCACCTCACTGCTTACATTTTGCGTTGCTTAACCACCCGACCACCTTGAAGATTTGACAAGAACTGTCGCAGAAAGCTGGGAACGATACAACTCGCTGCTCCCATCCTTACACTCTGAACTGTAATTATCGGGATAAATAATTAATCTGCATAGCAATGCATTACTGGTAAGACTGATTATTTGTCACAGAAAATGCAGGGTTACCGCAATAACCTAACGGAGACTAATAAAGTCATCGACGAGGAAGGCTGGTACAACTCAGGCGACGTGGCACTCGTGGACGAGGATGGCTACGTCCAGGTCGTCGACCGCTTCAGGGAGATCATCAAAATGGCGGACGGCCGCAATGTGAGAGGGTTTTTTGATGCTTTTGATGGCAACTTGCATCAAGTTTGCAGATAACTGCAGCGTTGGGTGTTGAATAAAATGGCATGTGAAACGCTTATCAAAAGCTAGTTAATCAAATGTACTTTATGGGGACTACATGAGTTGTTTTCATTTCCGTCGCCAGAGTAGATTAAAAGGTTTGTTAAAAGCACCGATACCTACGCATTTGTTGCTCTTAATGTTGTAAAAGTAAATGTTCTTCAGGAGTCTGTGGGAGTATTATCGTTTTTATTGAAGTAATTGTATAATTAATTTTACTCTAATAGAGTTGCCGTTTTAGTTGTTATAACCTTTTCCATTCTACAATAGTAATCTCGATACATCGAGTTATTATATCATATAACGACTGTAAATTGCATGGAATTGCATGAAGAATTTTAATTCTCAAACGTGCCACTTTTATTTTAGAGAAAACCGTGTCCGAATGAATCTGCATTTCGTATATTTTTATAATACAGTTTTTATAAATCCAAAATTCTCTTTTTACTCAAAATTAGAACTGAAAATTTGAATTTGCATGTCTTTTCATCTCCAGGCTGCCCCAGCGGAGTTGGAGAACACGATCCTGGAGATGGAGGGGGTGAAGGAGGTGTGCGTCATTGGGACGCTCGATGCCAGCACAGGATTTGACTCCATTTACGTTTTCATAGTAAATAAAACGGACGTCTCTCCCCCCATTAGCGAAGAAGACGTTGTATATTACGTGGTGCGGAACCTCAACGAACTAAAGCGGCCTAGAAAAGTGGTTTTCATGGACGCTTTGCCTCGGAACGACAACGAGAAGGTCGACCGCAAACTCCTGAGACTGAGAGCGAAGGAGATGGAGAAAGAGAAATAATTTTGGCTTGTACGAGTGTTCCTATGTAATAATTGTTGTTATCGTAATTAATATTGCAAAAGCCGAGCAGCCTATGACGGAATATGCGAGGAGAAAGGGGAATTGACCGTAACTTTGATACTGTGAAAAAAATTTCGCAATTATATGTATGAGGGAATAATGAACGACGCAGCGCGACTTATGATTACACTAGGCTTTATGTCAGAAACAACTCGTAGGCCGAGGTTGATTTCAAAATTTCCTGATTGAGTTTAGAGGTTTTCAGTTCAATTTTCAATATCAGTTACTTGTTGCGGAAATGTTATTCCGTTCATTATGCTTATTGCAAGAGAAAAATTAATGAATTTTTCATTCATGATGTTCGATTTATTGAAGCTCATAAAATAACTTTTATTGAATAATTGATATTTTGTGTGAAAAATTTCCTATTGATTTTTTGCACATGAGATTCGATCACAAATAATATATTCTGATTATGAAGGTTATAGAGTACCAGTATGGAACTATAACGTGTCCGATAACTCTCAAGTCGAATTGTTCAATCAATGAATCTGACTTGCTGCGCGGTACGCCGTCTTGCTTGAGACATTCCGTAGTATTATCAGGAGCCATCACTCAGGAGCCATTACTCAGGAGCCATCACTCAGGAGCCATCACTCAGGAGCCATCACTCAGGAGCCATCACTCAGGAGTCAGGAGCCATCACTCAGGAGCCATCACTCAGGAGCCATCTCTCAGGAGCCATCACTCAGGAGCCATCTCTCAGGAACCATCACTCAGGAACCATCACTCAGGAGCCATCATTCAGGAGTCAGGAGCCATCTCTCAGGAGCCATCCCTCAGGAGCCATCTCTCAGGAGCCATCACTCGGTATTGTCCATATCTTGACAGACTTTCTCACCTACAGCACGAACAGAAAGCGGACGTAGCATTGATACGCCATTTTGTCAAACCGAACTCTGTCAGCATGATCCACACACAAGAGCGTCAATTTTTATTGATGCAGTTATTGTATTTTATATTATATTTATTGCAATAACAATTTTTATACAACTCATTTCTATGACGGATCCCAACAGCAATATTTACTCGCTTTTATTGTTTTCTAATGAGGAAGTGTCGTCACTGCGACATTCAGTGCTTGTTCTCATTGGAGTGAGAACTGCACATGCCTATAATAGTTTTCCACATAGCTTAGTGTATATTGCATTTGTATTCTTCGTCGCTCTCTACTCCAGGCTAACGAGTTCATTTCAATCCGTTCTTCCACGGGCGATATTTATCCCGTTAATCTGCCTGTGGGTATAAGCTTGCGCCGACACTGAATAACAAATGTCCAATTTTATGTTGAATTGGATTGTTCAATCCAATTCACCATCACCAAACGATGACAACTAAATCGGCTACTCACAAATGTCAAAAAATTTTCATTGTTGTTAGTCAATAACGATTTTTGTTAAAAAATGGCATTTCGTAATGAATTATTAAAGAAAATATATTTTTTATTGAATGATTGTTGGTAAGGAATGATTTCGTTGATAATAAATACATTTATAGAATATGTGGAACCAGTAGTTTGAGTTTTATTTAAAGATGTTGGGTGCACTTCGAATGTTCACAGAATTATAATTTGAAATTATTTTCTTTGTTCAAGGGGACCGTCTACCCTCCGTAAAAACTTCTACAGTTATTATCCGATCATCGTGAAACTTCACATACACAGCTAAAATGTAAAAAACAACATTTTGTTCGTATCAATTTTTTGAAAAAATTGATAGAAAACGTGAAATTCGTAGAAAACGGCTAAAAACGGGTACTTTAGAAAATCTATCTCCTCCTACAAATATCATCCTACAACATTGAGACACGTATCATTCTATTCGTAAAGACCATACCTATCGACTCTAACATCACTTTCTCATTTTCCCCATAGTTTGTTTTTATCCTCATTTTTCTCATTTTTTCCCCCTCCCCCCCCCCTTCTCCCTATATATAAGACGAACCATACACAAATTCCAAAAAATGATGCTATAGAGTCGATAGGTATGGTCTTTACGAATCGAATGGTATATGTCTCATTGCTGTAGCTTAAAAACTGTAGGAGGAGATAGGTTTTCAAAAGGACAAAAAACGAAAATTTAAATAGTTCAGGGGAGCCAAATAAAGTAAAATTCATTGAAAACAGAAGAATATACCCAAAAAAGTCTTGATATTGTAGCCCAAGCTTTCCCATTGCCAATTATTTGCATTCAGGGTACCAGCAAGCGTCTTTAGACCTATTTATGTCAAATTCAACGTGAATAATAAGCTATTAATTGGACTTTTTATATATAAATATATATATGAAATATTCATTTTACATAACGTTACAACTGCATTCAGCAAAAACTATTGCACGTACATAAATGGTAGTAGCTTTGTTGAACGCGTCTTGTTTGTAGCCTTCAAACGAGTGCAAACACTTTGCAATTAACCTAAATAATGACATATAAATACCATTTATTTGTAAATAATGTTATAAAATGTTCATTTTATAAAAGTTCAAGACTGCATTACACAAAAAATTTTGCATGTACATCAATGGTAATAGCTCCGTTGAACGCGTCTCGTTTGTAGCTTTCAAACGAGTGCAAACACTTAGTAATTAACGAAAGTAATGATCTATATATACAGATTTAATTCAAATAAATCTTTGTACATATTGTTTAAAAATGTTCATTTTATATATATTTAAAATTGTCTTACGCAAAAACTATAGCACGCACAGACATGCGGTAAACCTCGTCAGACGCGCTTTTCAGCAGCTACAAAATGAGTCAAGAAAACGGAAAAGCCAAAATTTCCTATTTTTAGGGTAGACGGTCCCCTTAAATTAGACTACGACCACTTCATTGTACCAGGTATTGCCTATGCATTAAAATTAGAATCTCCTTACCAGATATTCATCACTCGAAACTTGAATAAAATAACCCCATTTCGATTTTAATGACTCGCCTTTCCTAGTTTTATCATTATCATTAAAGGTATAAAATTCATTTAAAATTTCATGTTAATGTTACAAAATTCATCTTTAATTTTATTCAAATTTTAAGCAAGTTTCAAAGATGTTTATTATAAATTTCAATAAAAGCAATATAGTGATGCATTTTATATCAAGAGGCACACTTCGGTTGCAAAACAACAAGATTAAATCAAAATTTCTACCTATGTATATCTTAAACAGTTCTATTATTTACTTCAATTGAAAATATTTTAATAATTTTTTCTAATAGTCACCAAGATTCAAGCAACAGGATATATCTCCCAGACTAATGAACGCAGCTGAATGAACGTGCGTTCATTAGGACCTAAATGTCATGTGTAGGTCGAGATTATTTATTTTTATTCGTTTTCTTTTCCAACTTATACGGTTATGCGGGATACAATTCACAGTGAACATAATATACTTTTTAAACTACCGAACAGATTCGAATGTAACCTTGAATACACATTAATAACCACCTAACGGTGATGTCAAAGTCGTATAAACATTTTCAATTAGGGCTTCATTCGAGAGTTATTTGGCTGTACCGTTATTTTGAATCATTTTGAGTTCGAGCTGTGCCGTGATCGAGAGCAGACGCACGTATTTGTGGTCCCATATATTTAGCTTTTACTGTGCCGTTTCGGAGCTCTTTTTGCATGTATTTTTTATGGACCGTGTCAGTCAATGACCGAATTTCAGTGAAGTTAGTAAAAGAAAGTGCGAAAGGAGAGAACAAGCGTATATTAAAAATTTTTTCATCTTGAATAACGCGAGTTATAGCGTGAGTGAGGGAAACGTGTGCCGTACCAGGGCAGAAGGCAGTAAAGTCTTTGTTTTCCCCCAAGATCAGCTCACCTCTACCCTGAACACCTTACGCCCGCCAACATCAACCCACCGCTTTCTGAAAGCCGCTACTCTTGAGTTGGTAACAGAGTTTTACAGTACTTTGGATTTTTTTACAATCTTACTTAACATCACTCGGTTTTTAACTTGTGTATTTTTAGCTCTTGCATTTCATGATGGCTGGACAAATAGGAAAAAGTTAATTGGGAAGACCTTTAGTTCAGTAAAACGAAATGCGAAAATCAAATCACAAAATGAGCGAGGGGAAATTAGTAAATTTTGAAAGCTGTTTTCGGTTACGACAATGGCGCTTCAGTGGCCTGTGAACGTTTCGGGGTTTTCATTTGCAATAGTTGTGTGAAGTTGAGCAAAACAGATCGCTCAGTTATTCGTAGATATATGAGACAGTCCACTGGTATTGTCAGGACTGCCAAAAACCAGCACATAGCGCTGTAAAAAGCGGAAAGACTGTGGAAGAGAAATGCTTTTCTATGTTCTCAGCCTATAAGGCCGAAAGGGAAGAGACTAACAAGAAAGAGTTGAGGAAGAGAGCCGAAATGACACACATGAAAGAGTTGATGAGTTCACAAGAGTTGAAGAGTTCACATGAAAGAGTTGATCTTGTTGTGTAACGAATTAAACTCATTACGGAACGAGCTGATGGAAATGAAAGCTCATCTCCACAAAACAAAAAAGAGCGATAACACAGAAGGTAAGGGCCGCAAAGAGATCATCTCAGATTTCGCCAACGAGGGCACTCATGAGCTGCTGGATAGAGAGTGAAGAAAATTTAACCTTGTTTGGTTTGTCGTTCCCGAAAGTAATGCTTCGAAGACGAGTGAGAGAGTGTATTCCTACGCTGCTTTTATTACTGGTTGATGTGTCAAGGCACTTAACGTCCCCAGCAGACATTCGGCGGTTGAATCAACGTTGAAATAACTACCTATTACGACGTTCATATCGGGGTGAAAGGAGGTTTAGAATGAAAATTGAAGCAATATCTTTCATTAAACGTCGTACTGACGTTACAATGCAACGTTGAATCAATGTTGCTAGTACGACGTTGCTGCAAAGTCTAATTCTATGGTTGAATCGACGTTGAAACAACTACTTATTACGACGTTGAGATCGCGGTGATAAGAGGTTTG